CGGGGGGCGGTCTCTCCGTAGGGAGAGTGGCGGCGGCGGCGGCGGCGGCGGCGGGAAATTTGGAGTGAGTGAGGGTCGAAAACGAGTGAGGCGGCGAAACTAAATACAAGTAGGCGTCCAACCAAAGCTGCTGCGGCAACTGCTGCTGCTGCTGCTGCTGCTGGCGACGTCTTTTGATCACACGTGGGAATTTCTAGCCTGTCGAACAGGCACGCCCGGATAGCACTATTAGCACCCTGCTGTGCCCCCCCCCCCCCCCCAATAGAACCGAAGGAAGCCGTAGCGTGTTGTTCGCCGGTGCCCATCAACCTATTAGTAGCCTGTTTTTTGCTGGAACGAACCAGTTGCTATTATTCCGGTGTTGTCGCCCACACGAGCGGGCTTTTTTTTTTTGGGTGGGGGGGGGCGTTTTTTATCTCGAAAAGACGCTCCTATTTTATTTAGTAACGTTGATTTTGCGTGCGTGCGCTTGGCGCCGGCTTCTTTCCTTGATTGAGTTCCGGGTCTATCTCGGGATCGTTCTTTCTCCCCCGCAAATCAGAAAACTGGGGACATCAGATCAGTAGAGTTTAGGCGTTACGGAGAGACAGAAAGACATGACCACGCGCCGAAGAGTTCCTACTGGTCAACATCGGGGCCGCTGAGTGCTGGTTGGCCGACAATCCAGCAGATAGTTTTAGTTGACTTTCGGTGCTTGGGCGTCATCTTTCCGTCGAGTGAAACAACGGGTGTAAGCACAGCAGGAGAGCGCCATCCATGCTCCATTGTTGCCGTACGGGAAAAACGACTTTGCCGCCGGCTGTGTCACCATGGGCACAGCAGCAGCATGTTGATTTCCTGTTCTGCTGCCGTTGCGCGTGTCTCAGAAGAAATAGTCGGATGACTGTAGTTGAAGTTGTATAGACTAGGTCATGATGACCAGCCGTGTGCTGTTCGCATCTGTTACCCGCATCGGGCATCGGACCGCGCGTACGATGTGCGCGATAGGCTGCCCCAACGCACAAACAACCGAGAACAGCGCGACCGAGAGAACCGGACAGAGGTGGGCTGCCCATCCCCGGGACCCCTGAGCAGATAGTATTAGCACTACCGGCCCTTTTGTCACTCTGGTTTTCGAAAGTTAGTTGATTGAATAGCTTTCGCCCCCGTCCTGACGGATTGGGCTGAAAACTCTCCTCGTGGGAGTGGGCGAAAATCTGTCGTTCGTTGCAACCTCGAGAACATCATCGACCGAAGAAAAACAACTCGCTTTTTAGAGAAGAAACTGGAGATCGTCAACTCTCAACACCAAGTGCAAAAACGGAAATAACCCGGCCTAACTCGGGGTCAAAATTCCGGGGTCAAAAACAAACGTTAGGTCTGAGAATTTCGCCAACAGAAGCTGAAGCCAATAGGGCATACTTGAGAAGGCACACACAGTCAACGAAGAGAAAGAAAACAACCTTTATTCGACACTTCGATGCTGCAGCTGGACGAGGAGAGTCGTTTTTTGTTCCCGGACTCGGCCTTTCTGAACCCAACGCAGACTTGGAACACAAACGGAGACATTGGCCTTTGGATCTGCCGATGCGGTGACGGCTGCTACAATACGAAGGGCAGCAGTGAGTGCCCTCTTGTCAACCGGTGGTAAAAATGATACAAAACAGAAGCTATACCCTCAACGTATCTACAACCAAACACGATACTCCCGGAATGCCGTACATACACCAAACGCACCCCAGAATCGAGGGGTGGATTATCTAAAGTATCGCCGTCAAATGGACGCAATAATGCACAGAACAGGGAGTGTTACTGAAGCAAAAGAAGTGAAGGCCATGAAGTAAAACACTCAAACCAGAAATCCATTTGAGCACCATCTAAAAAATAAAAAACACCATTGGGAATTCCTATCGTACAACGGTACATTGACCCCTCTCTTAAAAAAACAAACGTTCTTCCCCGAGTTTGGCATGACAAGGAAAGAGCAACAGGAAACGAAACAGGTGGATGGCGACAATCGAGACTTGCCATTTTCAGTACTGACGATTCTTCTCCTCAGAACAGACAGTGGAACACGACAGACATGTGCGTTTCTCGACTTTGATAAGGTCTGGTCGCTTGTACTGAAGACCGTTACAAGGTGCCGACCGACTTGCTAGCGCCGAAACCCCCGAGGTCGGACTCCATGGCCGCCTTCATCTTCTCCTTGTTCTTGCGGCTGCGGTAGAAGCAGCCAAGCCCGACAGCGAGGACAACGGCGCCCGCGGCGATGATGAACCCTAGTGCGATTTGGCTGAGCCCGCTGTCAGAGTCGCCGCACGGCTCGAACCCGTCGTAGTAGGTCGTCGACTCACCGATCACGAGCCCGCCGACCTATTTAGGTGGCCATGGCCAAGTCACAAGTAGGTACCCGGGGGGGGGGGTTGTCAAGCAAAGCTTGTTGCGACATGTCGACCAGACACGACATACATACGCTGTGTAACGTTGGCTTTATGCCGTTTTCAATGAGACAGCGCGGGGGTTATTTTGTGATATTCTGGGGGGTCTTGAGAGCTGAGAACGAGAAGAGAAGCTGCTCGCTTCGTTGAATTCCAAATTCTCGTGTCAAAATGCCGCAAGAAATTTGACCTATTTTTAAGTCTACCAGAACAACCGCCGCCCACGAAGAAAAACAAAGGAGGCCGGAAGGGCGCCATCGACTCACTCTCTGCTACCTCTCATCTACCCTGGACGTACTGTACCTGGCTGCACGAGATCCCCATGCACGAGTACACGCTCTCCAGCTGCTCCTTGAGGAACACGTACCCCTCCGACATGGGCGCGTCGGCGCTCGCGATGTCGGTGTTGGCTCTCACGAGCGTAGCGACCTCCTCGTCGCACTCGTTGATGCGGGGAAGCATGGCCGCCGAGAAAGCCCACAGCTCGGCCGCCGCCTTGTCGCCACCGTCGCCTGCTTCGGGGTCGGCGTTGTAGAAGTACCTGGAGAGGCGTGGCGGAGGACATGGAGAGGAGGGGTGTGTGAGGGATCCAAGCAGCTTGTTGTTAGTCTACTGCCTGTTACAACTCTTTGGAGAATCGGCGGAAAAAATGCTTGGGTCCCTCAAACCTCACACAGACACCCAGCCTCGCCCGATCTTTCGTGGCGATTCACCTCGGAACGGCTGCACCAGGCACGAGTGAGACATGCCACTACTCCAACCAACCACGAGCAGCGAAGACGGTTTGTACATACCTGAGCATGCCTTGAACGAGGGGCACGCCCATGAGGTCGATGATCTTGTCCTTGACGTCCCCCGCCGCGCCGCAGTCCCCGTCGAGCAGGTAGACCTGACCCTCCTTGTACAGCTCGAGCATGTCGGAGTTGACCTGAGCGGTGCCGGTGATGTCGCTGCCGTCGTCGTCGGCGGTGCACGTCGCGAAGTTTTCGCACCTACCAGGGTGAGAGAGGCGCCGCGGGGAACACCGACAGACACAAGCAGCAGCAGGACAAAATAGGGAATACAATGTAGTTGAGCACTGTCAGCAAGTATGTTACAAGCAAGCAAGATCATAAGTCGCTAGTGTGTGCGTGTGGTTGTTTGTGGCGCGATAGAACAGCGCGGCGTAGGGGGGGGGGGATTACCGTGATTGTTGAGATACGTAGCCTAACCGTTCAAGTGGATACGCGAACTACTACTAATTCCGTCTCGAATCTCCACCGCCTCCCCCCCCCCCCCCCCTCACTT